TCTGCACATTCAGATTCAATCTGAGCAATTCAAATTCAATTCCTGCTGGCACAAGATTTATCCCACACATTCCTCTCACTGATTCAACATTTATTCGTCTTCTTGAACGTTTGTCGAGCCATACCTGATGGACTCGCTGGTGGCTTTGTCTTTGACGGTGGAGGAGAAGGAGGAGTGAGTTTTATCCTCAAACAGGAAGGACAGCGGCGGCTTCACCGGGTCTGAGCACAGCATGGAGGTCCGATTAACGGAGGGAAAATAAAACTAGAGATCGATTAATTATGGATTCTGTTTGTTTACCTTCAGGCTTGCGCCGGTCTTTGAGCAGGTATTTGTTTGGGATGGTGAGGTAGCACCGCTGCAGCCGCCGTCGCTCCCGATTCGGTCCYTCCGTGGGGTCCAGCTGCCAGGACATAGGGTAGGACGTCTGGTCRTACCAAACGGCACTGAAACAGAAAAAAACGTTTAAAAATCTCTTTCCCTCCACTTTAGATTTTTATATTAGCCCACTATGATATCACGTCCACACCCACCGGTCGTGTGTGAGTTGCTGCACCAGCTCCTGCCAGTGGCGGCTGGCGCTCAGGTCCGTTTTGTAAAGACCCCGGATGTGCTGGATCACCTTCTTTCTCTCCATGCCTTGCCGCAGAGACACATTCTGAGTGATGTCGGCCGCAATCTTGGAAATGTCTTTGGACTTTCCGTCCAGCCTCTGGATCAGACTGTGCAGGAGTGGATTTTATAAAAAAAAAAAAAAACGTTTGGAAAAAAAAACACATTTTTAATTTTTAACATCGACACATGGAGGACAGAAAAAACTCACTTCTTCTGAGTGTTGGCCATTTTCTTTTCCCACGCTGCTTTACTCGTTTTCTCCTCGGTTTCATACTTGAGATTTTCCTGCACAAAGAAAAATGTGTTTTTTTGTTTGCTTTTAGCTGCAGCTTTTACAGTTTTATGTTTATTTAGTTAATAAATATAAAAGAAGCCACGTTTTCCAAAACAAGGCACCCACCTCCTTGATGGCCTTGAGGAGGTCCTGTTTGTGCGGCGCGTTGGGCGGGATGCAGCGGTGGCCGCACAGCTTCAGGGAGGTCATGAACGCGCCCACGGCGTTCTGCTCGTCTTTCGTCAGCTCGTCCTTGTGATCGTGCAGCATCTCGTACAGGTACAGAGACAGCTTGGGACCGTGCTGAAATTAACGAAGGAGTAGAGAAGAAAAACACACAGCAGACGGAGTTAAAACCTACAACAGGTCAAAACAGGAGTGGACCTGCAGAATCTCATACGTGCTCTGAGTTTGTGTTGCTACCACTGAATTTTAGCTCAATATCTGTAAAGGTGACTGAGATGTAGCAGTTTTTGAAGGCCCGATGGATGTGGCAGCCATCTTACACGGGACACCACAACGGATAAGTGGTTTAGCACATGTCAAACTTAAGGCCCGCGGGCCAAATGTGGCCTGGCACAGCATTTTTTTGTGGCCCTCGAGAGCTTCAAAGTAAAGGTCGACGGATACATCAGCCAATATTAGATTTTTTTTCTTGTATCAGCATTRGCCGATACGTTACACTGCCTCTTTGAACCAGGCATCTGTACAGTTTATTTCATTTTCTCTCGAGATATTGGTCTTAAATTCATTTGATGTGTGATTCTTAAATATTTCCTCTAATCAAATTAAAGCAAATATGTGCAAGTAACATTTTAAATATAAATTTTTTTAATATAGTTGTATTTTATAGTAATTTTTTCACTTAGTTTCATCCATATGCTCCAATATTTATTTGTATACATCTAACTTATTTTTTTCTCTTCTATCCTTTGATTAATTTCAGCTGCCTCAGCAAACAAACATTAGATGTTTAGAGTGAACAATCAATATGCACACCAAGCAATGTAAAGACATTTATACCGTGATATAATTATATCATATAATGACGATTGTTTGCTTAATAGTTATATTTTAAAATTTTCTACATCATTTGCTATTCATTATGTTTTGTCTGTTTTGTTAATAAATGTTTCTTTTTGTTTAAATTGAGACTCGTGTAACATTTGTTATCATTATGTCATTTGCATCATATAAATGAAGGGGAAAAAACACAATATCCACTTCATCAATCAGCCCCCTAAAAAATTTGGCAGCACTTATCGGGGATTGGATAGACTGATGTTAAAATAGTTAGTATCAGCATCAACCTTGAAAAACCTGTATTGGTCGATCTCTACGATGTATTAATGTCTTAAATTAAGCTGCTTTAAAGCAGCATTGATCATAAACTACATCTCCCAGAATGCATGTTGATTATTTGACTTGAAAATGACGGCTTGCCACCACTAGGTGGCGCTGCGCAGAGTTCAGGACAAAATTAAATTTGTAAAATCTACATTTTGATGCATTTTTGACGGCTTTTGTTGCGACCCAGTTATCCTTTAAACTGGAACGCCTCTCCAGCGGGAATTCCCTGTAGGAAAGTGGGAGAGTTCAGAATTCAAGATGGCAGCTGCTCACCACAGCTCAACATTGAGTAAAACTCTTACTTTTACTTTTAATAGTATTTTTGTWGTATTTATTTAACAGTTAGTTATACGTGTAGTAATTTTCAGTGTTTATAAGAGGACGTGTTAAAACACTGTTTCTACGTAGGAAATACCAGGTAGAGCTCAGTTAGTGTTTGTTAGCGGAGCTGAAATGTAGCAACAAAATGAGCAACAAACAAATAAGAGTTTTTAGATTCACCTCCAGACCCGAGCTCAGGCTCTCCTTCAGGATGTCCATGTGTTTGGGATCGAACACAAACTGGAGCGCCTCCTTCCTGTCGCTCAGAGGACGCGTGGGGCTGAGCGTGTGCACCAGGAGACGACCGATCTGGACCCTGAACGTGTCCCGGCAGGACCACAGGATTCTCCTCCACTGATGGCTCGGAGCGCCGCCGCGACCCGTGCTGCCCTGTGGGTCCAGAACAGCGGCTCAGGTGGGACACGTTTTAAGACATGAATAGTAGTCGGAGTGCTGCAGTACCAGGCTGATTTTGATGCCGTCCATCATGAGTTTGAGGACGTCTTTCTGAAAGCTCTTCTTGTTGGCGGGCGGCAGGGTGAAGGGAATCGGGGATTGCGGGACGGAGGAGGAAGAACTCTCGTCGTGCGCCTGATCGCCGGGCTCGGGCGTGAAGAGCTGGTGGTCCGGAGAGTCTGGGATGTTCAGCAGGTCGAACAAATCCTCGCTCACGTCTGAAAACACACATTTAAACACAACTGGGGTCAGACCGTGAAGATTAGACGCRGTGATTCAGGGGGGGAATATTCACCGTAGTAGATAAGTCTGTTGACGGCGAGAACCACCAGCCTCTGCAGCCGCTGGACGAACTCGGTCTCACTGGCCCGGATGGGGTTCTCCTGGCTCATCCTCCTCTGCATCATCTGGTGGAGCTCATCGCTGGCCACGGAGCGCATCCGCATCAGGAGGGAGTCAGTCTGGGCCAGGGAGAACCGGCGCCGACCTACGAGCAAATTATGACCGTTTCAGCTGGTTATGGCGGTCTTGTGTCTAGAGAAGTATTCACACCCTTTAAACCTGGGATTAGATGTGATAGACCAACACAAAGTAGCACAAAGTTGTGAAGTGGATGAAAAAATACAGGTTTTATTGTTTTCAGAGGCCTGATGGGTAATTAACCAGAATAGAAACTTCTCACACTTGTCATATTTGTCCTTCRTTAAGTAGCTTTATTTTGCTAGTTTCTTTGTAAGTCATGAGCACAAGTTACAGTAAACTRAACCATGTGTCAAACTCAAGACCTGCAGGCCAAATTTGGTCCACCATGGCACTTAGTGGCCCACAAGTTTCAAAAATGTATTCATGTCTTAAAATAAGCTGCTTTAAAGCCAGATTTGAGCATAAACTACATCTCCCATAATGCATGTAGAAAATAACAGCAYCTTACCACTAAGTGGAGGTGTGCAGGGTTCAAAAGTAGCTGCTGAAAATGCGGCTAAATGGAGATTTAACGTATTAAATCTGTAACTGATGAAAAATAWCATCAATGACAGAGAACGTCTCCAACCCAATGCATGGATCTGTGGCTGATCTGCAGAGCTCCTTGAGTGACAGACTGCTGCGTTATCGAAGATCCTTCCTCCCATCAGCTGTTAGACTCTATAACCATCACTGCTCCCAACAATCATAAGCATCCATGTTTGCATTTGCACATCAAACAACTCTCCCTCTCAATCATTACATGAATAATAACCAGTGGCAATTGTACATTGTTTTCCTGTACTGAACACTGACCTAATGAGTTCGACTCACTTTGCACACCTCCTCGGATCATGAGTCTGTCATGACTTGTCTTCTCATGTAATTTTGTATTTTTCTGCACAGTATCTTGCTTTTATTTTAATTTGATCTAATTTCATCTTGATAGTCCGGTATAGTAATTCTTATTTTTATTTTGATCTATGCTTATTTTTTATTGTTACTATCTTTAATTCTATTATTATTGTTACAGTTGTTATTGTCACATAGAAATATACTGTTTCTGTGGATTGATGAATGTATCTGCTGCTACTACACCTGAATTTCCCCGCGCGGGACAATAAAGGCTGTTTCGATTTCTATTTCTAAATTCACGTTATTACACAGACCTGATGTATTTGCTCTAAACTGATTTGTGCCAAAACCTTCTTTTAAAATCATGGATGACATTTTTCAAAAATATATTTAAGCTATAAATCTGCTTTTTGAGCTTGTTGAGTTTGCACAATTCCCATCGTGTTTTCAAAGCAATCTCAGATTTCGGCTCCGGTTGTGCTCATAACTTGGAAATTATCCATTTCATCGGCTGCCGGCTACTTTTAAACACCCAGTGTTGGGATTCCATCATTTTGCAAGTAAAATAATCTACATGCATTTTGGGAGGTGAAGGCTACATTTGCTGCAGCCCAGTTGTACTGGGAAGTGGGAATTTCCCACTTACATGTTATAAATTTAAACTACTACTACTCACCACAACCCAGTGAGCAAAACTCTCTTACTTTTACATTTCATAGTATTTGTTTTATTTATTTCACATGTAGTCAGTCGTACACGTAGTACTTTTCAGTGTTTATAAGAGGACGTGTTAAAACGCTGTTTCTATGCAGGAAATACCAGGTAGAGTTAGTGTTTGTTAGCGGGACTCAGGAACGTGACGTTTTGTGTTTAGTCAAAGTTAACCCTTTAACAGTCGCTCCTGAAATTCCTTAAAAGCCTTTTGAATTTTTTATTTTATGTAAGGGTGTCAAGGTAAAGATAAGAACCGGAGAAAGTCTGACACCCTGGTTTAAAAAATAAATAAATAGCTCCCTGTTCGTAACTGTTTTTATCATTTAAGGAACATTTCAAAGCTGAGATCTTTTGTGTCACAGAAGGAGCTAGAGATGGTTGTTCACGCTTTTATTTCTTCTCTTTTAGATTATTGCAACAGTCTTTTTACATGTTTAAACAAATCCTCATTGACTCAGCTTCAGTCTGTTCAGAACGCTGCAGCGAGGTTATTAACAAAGACCCACAGCAGAGCCCACATTACACCTGTTTTAGCCTCTCTGCACTGGCTCCCTGTGCATTTGAGGAGTCATTTTAAAATTTTAGTTTTAACTTTCAKAGCACTTCATGGTCAGGCCCCTAAATACATCCTGGACCTTCTGAAGCCTCTCTGTCCATCCAGGACTCTGAGGTCTTCTAATCAAATGCTGCTGGTGGTCCCTCGAACCCGTTATAAAATCCGTGGAGACAAAGCTTTTCAGGTGGTGGCCCCGAGGAACGCTCTCCCTCTGTCCCTTCGCTGTTCAGATTCTACTGACTCTTTTAAGAAACAGTAATGTGCTTTTTATTGTGTTTTAATAGTTGTTTTTATATCTGTGATCTGTTTTATTGTTTTTAATTATTTTTAATTGTTTATTGCTTTCTGTGAAGCACTTTGTGATGTTTGTGTCTGTGAAAGGTGCTATAGAAATAAAGTTTACTTACTTACTTACTTACTTACTTATCTGGAAACATTTAAAAAGGCAGAAATGGCACAGTTTTTGCCCACTGGTGGAACAAAGACTTTAATTACAACCATAATGCTCATGTGGCCCCTACTGCAAATGAGTTTAACACCCCTGAACTAAACCATTATTAGGCCGAAGTATTTAAAATGTAAACAAAAAGCCAGAGCTACAATAGAATGGTCACGATCAAAACATATTGATGGTCCATCAACTAAAATCCTAGAAAAATGTTTTATAGTTTGTGGTTGAAATGTGACAAAAGGTGGAAGAATTCAAGCTGAAGTTCAGGGTAAGGTTACATTTTTTAAACATGGAAGCTGGAAGGCTTCACATGGAGCATTCCAGCGTAAACACACAAAGGCACCAGCAGCGCACCGAGCGTACCGGGCAGATTAATCCAGAGTCCACTGCAAAGATGGGAAACATCCCCCACAATGTGGGAGGATAGTTTCGGGCTGTGGAAACCCCAGCTACCTGCATCACAGTGGAGCGTGTATGATGGCGCTCCGGTGGGGGAGGGGAGGGGGGAGTCCTGGGACAGGAAGCTGAAGGGAGTGGCCGTGGGGATCTGGCCGTAGGAGCAGTAGTGCTGCCTGGGGATGCGGGGGATAATGGAGTCTTTCACGGCGATGGAACCTTCGGGTCGGGACGAGGGAGAGGATGAACACACTGAGACACTCGGGACGGGCGGGACTCTGGCTGTGCAGCACTCACCTGCGATGCTTTTACGCTTCTGGTAGATGGCGTGATGTGGAGAGCTGGGCGTGTTCACRGAGCTGCTCAGCTTCTGAGGCTCCTGGTTGGCCGTCGTCTTTATGAACTCGACTGCGGATTGGAGGACTCTGAACTGGAGGGCCACGGCCATTTCTGGACGGAGAAAGATGACAGAAATGTTGACGTTTGCTAAATAAATGAAAAGTTTCATCTACCGTTTAGTTGGAACAGCTCTAATCTGAGAAAAACTTGACAGCCTAATTTTATTAATTTATAATATTGATGCAACCTCTTAAAGTACCTGTGACATAAAATTTTTTTAATAAATATGAATGCATTTTTGGAAAGACATCATTGATAACACATTACAAAAAAAATTCCACGCCACCGAGGTGAACAGTTGTTGAGATATTCACATGTGATGAAACAGGAAGTGATGTCAAAGGGGAATRTCTGAATKTAAATGTATTGCTACAATAACTAACAACACAGACTGTAGAGAGGAATCTGRTGCTCCTTTAAATCAATTTGAGTCACTATCAGAGAGATGAAAAGTTCAAATAACATTGTTTCAATAAAAAAAGACCAGAAAGTTTGTTTTCTTAAAGAGTTCCCCTTTGATGTCACTTCCTGTTTCACTTTGGATGAGCCAAATTCAAAAGGAAAATATGCCAGTTATGAGACAAAATGGGTAAAATTTGAGTATTTTGCCAATTTATTCAAAAATAAACATGTTTTCTTCAACTTTTTGTTGTTAAAGGTTATGAACGTCACAGGCACTTTAAGCGTCAAAATAAAAGCACAATATTTACATTTTATATAAAAGCAGAAAAGTTGGGTTTAATGGTACAGTTTTTACGATAACCACAAAAAAAGCTACATAATTTTCACTCAACTGGGGCATGTATTTCGTAGTTGAATATCAGGAATCCGGTCCTCACCCTGTGTGCGCTGCATCTTGCTGGTTTGCATGAAACCCAGCAAAGTGATGAGGTCTTCGATGATGCGGAAGTACTGGGACCCCGAGGAGCTGCAGGAGTGGATAGTCACAGCCACTAACATCTGCTGAATGTCACACACCAGGAGCTTGTAGTCATTCAGGGGAATACTGCAGAGAGAATCAGAAAAACAAACAAAAAGAAGAAGAAGAAGTCAGTCTACCAGATAAAAGCGAGAGGATTAATGATTTATTTCTTGGTTCAATAGCCCAAAACAAAACCTAGGTGTTTGAATAATTGTTCCCGACTGCGGCAGCCGTACCAGTTCTCCATGCCGTTCAGGGTGGAGAGGGTGTTAAAGAGGACGTAGAGCAGCCCGTGGTCCAGCAGGATGTCAGCCAGCTTGGGGCAGGCGTTGACGAGCTGCAGCAGCATGCAGAGGATGTTGTGCACCAAGGAGTTCTCGTAAAGGGAGTTCTCGATGAGACCCAGCACCGGGATGATGCAGCGCCTTCTGAAGGGTGAAATGCTCTCCATTTCCTCCAGGTCCAGGCTGAGGAGAAACACGTTATATCAGACACGTGAGTTAAAGCAGGCGAGGTTTGTTGTTTTACAGGCGGTTTGAGACCGGACTCACTCCTCCTCCAGGTTTGTCGGTCTTCCAAACAGCATCTCCAGGAAGCATTCGAGGAGCCCCTGGCTGCCCTGGTGGATGTACAGCTGGTTGGCCAGCAGCGAGAAGCCGTGGTTCTTCAGAAACTTCTCCTTCTGCTCCTTTTGAGCTCTGGTGAAATACGCATCCAGCAGCTGGGAGAGAATAAATGAAGCCTGTAAGAATCTCATTAACAACCCACCTGTAAACCTATTACATTAAATAAAAATGTTAAAAGTTAATTATGTGAATTTTATGATCTAAAACCGTATATAGGATTGGGCAATACTGACCAAAGGAAAAAACAAACAAAAACCAAATTAATCATGAAAAACTGGCATTTAACCAATAAAGATTATTATGGTGTTTAATAAAAGACACTCGAATGTAAGTCAAACTAACGTTTTCATTTTAAACAGCCACTTTCTCTTTCAGCTTACTTTGCACCTCGTAGGGGACAGATCCACTGAGTGCTTCAGGGATTCTTGGCTGAGTAGATTTGTTCTGGTTTATGGTGGTTTTTCAAGTTCGTATTGTTAGCATTAGTTCTGGGTTACCTTTAGCTCTTTTGCCAGAGTTGTTCTGCATAAGTGTTAACTCTGCATTARCTCCATGTTAGCATTAGCTCCACATTAGCATTAGCTCTGAATTAGTGTTAGCACCACATTACCATTAGCATTTGCTCAGTATTAGCTGAACGTTAGCGTTTGCTGGGCGTTAGCTCCACATTAGTGTTACCTCCACATTAGCATTAGTATTAGCTCTGCACTAGCGTTAGCGCTGTATCAGTGTTAACTCCAGTTTAGCATTGCATTTGATTTGTGGTAATGTTAGCTCTACATTAGCATTAGAGTTAGCTCAGCATTAGCGTTAGCTTAACATTAGCATTAGCCTTAGATCAACATTAGCATTTGCTCTGTGTTGGCTCCACATTAGTGTTACTTCCTTGTTAGCATTAGCTCAGGGTTAGTGCTAGCTCCAACTGAGTCTAGTGTTAGCTCCACATGAACATTAGCTATTGCTAATGTTAGCTCCGTGTTAGCATTAGGTCCATGTCAGCTTTAGTGTGAGCTCTCAGTAATCGACACATGACGAATATTAATGATGACAGTTTTTCTAATTTAATTGCAATCGATACAAATCTTCCCAACCCTTCATGTCATACAGACAYTGATAAGTAGTTCCTTTTGTTGGTTTTTAGTTTGAAAGACTCGAAGAAGCCAACCTTCATGACTCCTTGCTGGATGAGAGGTGAAGAGTGGTTGACCAGAACAACCAGAGCCTCCGGCTGGATGAGCTTGTCCATCACCTCTTCCAGCATGAGGTCAGGCAGCAGTAGCAGGACGCCCCTCAGAAGATCGTAGAGTCCACAGCAGACCAGCACCAAGCAGTCCTCTGTACTGGACCTGAGATGAACAGAAGATTTACAGACGACTCAGTGAAGCGTGGCTTTGTTGAACGTATCAGAAACAACGTCTAGCACCTGTCGTTGGACTCCGTCTTGCTGTGCGTCCTCTCGTAGCCAGGAGAGTAGGTGTAGCTCTCCAAATCGTCGGGGGCGGAGCCTCGGTCGGCCACGCCGGGCCACCGAGCGATGGCCAACGAGCCGTTTGGAAACGGGAAGGCGAGCCCCAGGCTGGTCAGGTTGCTGTGGCTCCTCTGGAAGGACTGGATGCCCTTCAGGCTGTCGGGGCGGCGGGGCGCCTCGTCGCTGGCCCAGTCGAACCTGTCCTCCGACTCTGGCCCGCCCACGCTGCACTCRGCCAGGCTGTCCTCCTCCGCCRCCTCGTCTCGCTCCTCCTCCACGCTGATGGACGGGGTGCGCGGCGAGGCGCCCTCCGCCGCGTCCTCGGGGTYGCAGATGGTCTTGGCCGATTCGCAGCTGCTCAGGAGCTGCTCGCCGCCGGCCTTCTTCAGGGTCTCGGTGCTGCCGAGGGCTTGCTGAGAGGTCAGGGAGACCCCGTCTCCTTCGGCTGCTTCACCGGAGACGCTGTGTCCGAGTCGAGGGGTCAGCATGGGGGAGGGGGACGGGGACGGGGCCAGACTAGGGGGACGCAGCGACTGATGGTCGCCTCCATGTTCAGTGGAGGAAGCGTGCAGGTGTCCTGCAAAACAAAAACCACAGAGTTGAAAAGAAACTAAGTACAAATACTTCTTTACTGTACTTAAGTAGAATTTTTGTGTTTCTGTACTATGAGTAATTTTTTTCAGCCTACTTTTTACTTCTACTATATTTTCACATAATTATCTGTACTTTCTACTCCTTACATTTTTAAAAAAGACAAGCAGAAAGTTGTTACTTTTATTTCTTTGCTTGTTTTCATTCCAGCTTGTTATTTTAAAAATAAATACTACTGTGGAGGAGTAGAAAAGACGACAGAAACTTGATGCAGAACCTCGCTTTACTCATCTCCAACTTACTCTGAGCGGTAAGCGCCAAAAACAATACACTTATTCAAAAACATTTTTCAATCACAACATCCTGTATTAGTGGGTGTGAGCAGAGCCCCCTAGTGATTCACAACACTATCCATATWAMCTGTGCCTCCTAGACAGAGTGAATTTAACTGTGGTTGAATGAGAAGTATAAATATTAGGGGTGCAACGATACAGAAAATTCACKACTTGGAATTTTCTGTATGAAAAGCTGTCTGAAGCTTCCAGGACTGTGTTTCTACCTTCATGAGGAGCATCAGTGAAGACGGTCGGGGACAGGGACACCACAGAGCTGCTGGCAGACCTCCCTCCACTGTTGGAGTGTTGTCTCAAGTACATAATGGACTGCACCTTCTCCTGGTACAGCTTCCCATCTGAACAGACACACATCAAAAGAACTCGGTGCATTAGCGGCGGCGCTTTGATCCTGAAGGAGCCGCGTTCGGCTGCTCCCCTCACCTGTGCGGAGGGAGAAGTAGAAGCTGGACGGCGTGTGGCAGACGTAGGTGTTGGTGGGCGGGTGGACGGCCAGCAGGAAGTTGCTGATTAGTTTGAGCAGATCCATGTCCGGAGGAGAGCCCAGAACCTCCTGGATGATTCTGATGAAGGACAAGCAGACTTCTGGAGGGATGGAGGTGAGATGCTCGTCTCGATGCTCCTTTAAATAAAAACAAACGTTCACAGTCGCATTGAAGAAAAGTCTGATTGTCAGTAACTGAGACCTACCTGTAACACCTGGCAGGTGAGCAGGAAACGATGCACCAACTCAGCATTCAGGAACTGACGGATGTTGTAGACCTGGTGGGGGTGGTTCATCCTGATCAGGATCTCTAAAGCAGCCAGCAGCGTTTCCCACACGCCGCACTGACAACAAAATCACAAACAAAACTGTAACGACTTCACTGAAGAAACTGAAACTGAGGTTTTAAAGCTGAAAGAAAACAAGAAGCAAAACACGTAGCTAAAAGCTAAAATATGAAAAATGCTCATTTAAAAAGTAACAAGGGTCTTGTACAAAGCTCAAAGGAGCAAAAGGCTAGCTAAAAGGCACAAAAACAGTAACTGAAAGCTAAATATAACTAAAGCAAAATGCAACAAAAACTTACCTATAAGCTAAAAGTTGCAAAAAGCTATTACAAGTCAGKTTTAAATCTAATAAAGGCAAAGGCAAGCAAACAGCTGCAAGTATAAAAAGGCTAACCAAATCTCTAAAGTACCAAAAAGCTAGCTAAAATCTAAAAAAACATCATAATGCTAGCTTAAAGTCAAAAGTAGCGAGAAAACAGAGCTCTAAACAATAAAACGTTAACTAAAAGCTTAAAGCAGCAAAAGCCTAGCTAAAAGCTAAATACAACAAAACACTAGTTAATAGCAAAAGCTAAAAGGTAACAAAAGGCTAACTTATGTCTAAAAATAGCAAATGTTAGCCAAAAGCTAAAAATACTAAAGCATTAGCAAAAGCCTACAAGTATCATTAGGCTAGCTTGTAGTAGCAAAAGACCAGAAAACTATTATATGATTGGCTAAAAGTAACAAAAGGCAATACTGAAAGCTAAAAATAGTAAAGGCAAGCCTAAAGCTAATAGTAGCAAAACACTGGGTAAAGGCCAAAATATCAAAAGACAAGCAAAGAGCTAAATTTATTAAAGCATTAGCTAAAACCTACAAATATCATTAGGCTAGCATAACACCAAAAATAGCAAAGGAAAGCAGAAAACTAACAAAAAAGTCACAAAAGGCTAACTAAAAGCCCAAAGAAGCTAAAGCGTGCAGGTGTCCCAGAAAATAAAAATATAAGCTGAAAGCTAAATATAACAAAACACTTGCTAATTGTGACAAATACTTCACCAAAAGCTAAAAATGGCAGAAGGCCAGCAAAAATTGGTAAAAGATTAGCTAAAAGTAACAAAAGGTTTATGAAAAGCTAGAAATAGCAAATGCTAGCAAAAAGCTATTAGAAGCTAATAGTAACACAAAACGACAAAAGGAGGAAAAGGCACAGATACTAGATTTTATTCTTCTTTCTGCAGCCTTTCATTTTATTTGTGATTTGTATTTTTAGTGTATTTAAATTAATTTAGTTATTTAAAAAATCTATCAAAAAGTTTGCCAGAAGTTGAATTTAGCAAAAAGCTAGCTAGAAGCAAAAAATATCAGATTAGTAGCAAAAACTTGAAAGGTAGCAGAACGGTAGCTAAACATTAGCATTCACACAGTAAAAACAATAAACACAAAGTGCCTGACACCTGACCTGAAACTCAAGAGCACAGTCAGCGCTGACTTTACCTCAGCTTTGGCCCAGATCTTCCAGTCCAGCAGAATGTCCGACAGCAGCCGTAAATCCTGAACCACGGCGACCGACTCGGCGTCCAGACGGAACTGACCGTCGTCGGCCAGGATGAGAAGGGGTCCGCTGCAGCAGCCGTCCAGCAGCGTCTGCAGAGACAGAAACTGGAGTGTTTTCATGGCCTCTCAGAGCGAATCAGACACACACCTGAACATACAGAATCTGTGACCCGCCCCGCCGCAGGGCCCGTAAATCATCCTGTCAGTGAATAACCTGACACGGGTCAAGAGCTGCTTTAACAAAGATAAAAGCAATAAAACGTGATATAAAGAGTGGCCCGGCGTTTTTATTCTCATAAGAATAATTATTAKTGTCACAAATCAGAGCAGGCCTGAGCTCACAGAACAGGAAGTAAAAGTCTACAGTGAGAAAAGCAATCAGAGGTGCGGTGAAAACTCTGCAGGAGCCATAGATTTAAATATAGATCACTAGACTGAGCCCCGCCCGTCCCGTCCACTGTAGTGTCTGTGACAGCATGGAGGAGCAGAAACAGACCAAACAGCAGCTCACAGCC